TACTCATGACAATCGCAGCTTCTGTCGAATCGCGATCTCGATTCCATTTCGATTTATCGTGCAGCTCTAATGAAACACGATGGGTGTGATTAAGGTGAACAGAATGACTGATATATATATATATATATATATATATATATATATATTTTACATGATGTGCAACAACTCTGCTTGGTTTTTATTATTTATTTGCAGAAAAACTAATTTGGTGAAAATTTTGGTGCAAACGCAAGAAATTTCTCAGTTTGTGGGGGGAATTGTGTGCAAAAAAAAGGGTGGGAACATTTTTTTTAGTGAGCACAGAAATACACTGCATTATCGTTATTCTCATAAAATTACGGATGAACCACTGATGCCACATGGACTATTTTAAATAAAAAAAATTAAATAAAAAAAAAGCACACTAAGTACTCTGCAAAATAAAACAAAAGCACTTTTTAATGACTTTTCAATTATGTTTTTTCAATGATTTTGTTCCATATTTACTAACAGCTTGCGCCAGCACAAACCGTCTTTTGGCATTAAAATAGTTCTGTCAGGATTTACTAAAGACGCACAAGTGAGGAATTAGCACTGAAAAGGCGTAGACAGTTATTTTTGCATTTGACCTTATTGAATATGGATTTGTAGGAGTTTCCTTTTCAGACGCAAAATTTATGGGAGTAGAGTATTAAAATGAATCATGCAACGTGATTTACTAACGTTTGCGCTCATAAAATTACTGGTATTTGCGACTTTATTTAACGCCCAAAAAAAGCATGTCTTAAACTATTTTGCGCCTGTGTCGTAAGTAGATCACCCGCACCTGATGAGCATCGGCTCTGCTTATTTGTGACTACGTAATTTGCGCTGCGCCTGGTATATTGCGTTGGTTGATATGTAAATGAGATGTTGCGCCTGCGTTCTTTAATTTAGTTGCGCGTCATCAGTAAAGTGTCCATCGCCGCTGTTTTGGAATTGCGCTCTCGTGCTAATTTGCCCTGTTTAGTAAATCTGGCCCTTTGTCTTTTACAATAATGTGATGTCTTTTAATTATATTTCTTCATTTTCTTCAGTATTCAGTATTAACCTTCATATTTGTGATTAACTGTGACAGAAAAAATAAAAATGTTGTTTTGTGCCAGGTGAAAATACAGTGTAATGCAAATGCATCTAACCAACAGCAGACAGACAAGCGGACTGACACTAAAGCAACCAAATGATTGACACAAGCCAGACTAACTGACAGAGCAGATGCGAGAGGACAGAGATGCTCA